ATTAAAATTGATGCACAAATTAAAATTGATGCACAAATTAAAATTGAGCCACTGGTTCTACAGAAGGGGAAACGTCAATCATGCCTCCTTCTGAATGATAATAAGAATTAAACTCAAAGAATTTATGAGAATATTTAAGTAAAGATAATGGAATGCATATTGTTTTCCAATTACCAAAGAGGATGAGAATGATGAAGCCCAATTAATGTCCTCATCACTGAAATTAATGGATCAAACTTAAAAACACAATTTAATGCCGCAAATCTCAGCAAAAACAAACCAACGTTTGGATTAACAACCAGCGTTAAGTCAGTCAGAAGGACCTTCATCTTATTTTGACACGTTATAACTGTGGGCGGTGATGAGTCTAAGGAGCATTCTTGTTTTTGACTGTGTGTTTTAAACAAAATCACAGAACAGTGATGTCATTATGGTAAGATGGCGAACTGGTTTTGGAATCCTTCCAGATCCAGGCAGCAGATGAAGTGATCATTCTCAACTCATTCCAATTATTTTCTCCTTACTGGTGAATGTGAACTTGGTATTAAAAATAATGCACATAAGCATCTACTGTTGTTTGACCAGGGGGGCGGGGCTTAATTTGAGCTGAATCCTGCCGGAACAAAATCCAGGAACTCTCTTATTTTGACAGGGTGCTTCTGGTAACTGTTTGTTGGGAGCCTGTAACTCTCAGGCTTACTAATAAATGAATAACTGAATGAATAAAACTTATATTGGATAAACAGAAAATAATTACGAGTGCTAATTTTAAACACAACATTCGATCTGCCTCTTTCAAGTAGCTTTTCCGCTTCTACCCTTAAATAAATCTCAGCCCCTTAAAGGGTGGAGTGGTGGGGGTGAGCGCCGAGCAGGCAGTCATGTCATAGAGGGGGGAGGTGGGAGCTTGACAGAAGCGGAGTGTTTACAAATGTAGATAAACGTCGATGTTTAACAAACCGTTAAAATACAGTAGTCCCTCGCTACTTCGCGGTTCGTTTATCGCGGACTCGTCCTAGCGCGGTTTTTCAAAATAAGACTGGACATGACACATAACTGGCTGAGTGATGGATGTGCCGCATGATGGGCATGGAATTTTTATTTAAAATAAGTTATTTTAAATTATTTAGCATCTCCTGCATCTTTGTGCAGCCCATACTGCAGGATAAACTTCCTCTTGCAGCTGATCTCAGTGCAGAGTGGAAAAGTGGGCGTGGCCAAGACCGCTTGCAGGTGGCTGAGTGCAGCCGGAGGCAGAGAGCTGCAATCATGACAATCTGTGCTCTTTTAGAGCGTTTAGAGTTTAGAAACATTGTATAGAATATTGCAAGAGTGTGGGAAGGGTCTAAAACATATATATATATATATATATATATATATATATATATATATATGTATATATATAATAAAATAAAGTACTACTTACAACTTGTACTACTATTCCTACTTCGCGGTTTTTCACTTATCGCAGGGCTTCAGGGTAAGGATCCCTCACAATAAACGAGTGACTACTGTTCACCAAAATGCAGGAAATCACATCTACTTTATTCAAAATCTTCAGAGGGAGGACACCTAGCCCCCCCACCGCCCACACACCCGCTATTTGTGTTCCAGCATTGATCGGTTTACAAATTAAGCCCTGTGAGGGAGTGTGGTTAAAATGAGAAGTGTGAGATGTAAATGGTTCCTAGAGACACATTCAGTGCAGGATGAACAGGGTGTGTACTACTGTCAGGCTGTGCACGACCATAGGTGTGTGTTAGGCTCACAAACAGCTGAAAACACAAGCAGGGACTCTGAGCTGCACGAGAAACTGGGACTTGTTGCTTTCTTTCAAACATCTACTTACTGACAGTGGAGGCGGCCGCAGAGCGTTGGAGCTCGAGGCCTGAGAGCAGCTGGGCGGCCCGCTGCCAGGAACCTGTCCTGGGACAGGGGTCTGGGTTTGGCCCAGGGCAGAGATTAGAGTAAAGGGAGTGGCAGGCCCAATAATGGGACCTGGAGCCTGATTTGGACCCGGACAAGGCTGGGAGCCCTGTGGTGCATGGGTAAGGAGGAGGCCCAGGAGGAATAATTGGGACCCGATTGAAGGAAAATGAGGGGAGATTGAAAGAGAAAGTAAGGAAAGGAAAGGTCCAAGGAACAAAAAGAAACAGGTGCAGAAGGAGATAAAAGTCAACAGCAGCTAAACAGTGATGGAAAACAAACTGAGCTGCATGTAAACATAAAGTGGTGGTTGAGTTTTTAAAGGGGTGTCTGCTCACCTGGGTGAAGATGAGTGTCTCTGAGTTGCGGCTGTCCAGACTGAGGACGAAGCGGATGGACTGAAAGAGTTCCTGGATGCTGGTGCGAAACTGCTCCTCCTCCATCCCACAAGTGGCCCGGGAGTACAGGATCCGGGACTGGACGATGAACTTAAACAGATACTCCAGCGCCTGAGGATTGTTTGTGCGATATAAAGGAAAGAAAACAGTTCAAATACAGACTCAATTCCCAAAAAACTGTTGTGGTGACAAATATAAATAAAACCAGAGTGCATTGGTTTAGTTATGCTGTATTGAAATATATGTTTTTCTGAAGATAACAGAAATACGGTATTTAGATATAATTTAATACAGTTGTACTGATGTCTGTTAAAAAAGAAAGCCCTAGAAAAACCTTCATCTGTAACTCAAAATGTTTTTACAAGAGGCGACATTCAAGGAATCAAAGTAAACAGCCTTTATTTAGCTGTTGGGCAACACGGTGGCTCAGTTGGTAGAGCCGTTGCCTCTCAGCAAGAAGTTCGTCTGCTGGGAGCCTTTCTGGGTGGAGTTTGCATGTTCTCTCCGTGCATGTGGGGGCGTTCTCCGGGTACTCCAGTTTCCTCCCACAGACCAAAAACATGCATGTTAGGCTGATTGGTAACTCTAAATTGTCTCTAGGTGTGAGTGAGAGAGTGAATGGTTGTCTCATTTGTCTTCATGTGTCCCTGTGATGGACTGGAGACCTGTTCACAATGACTGATGAATATAGGCACCAGTGACCACCACGACTAGAAAAAGAAGTGGGTAAAAGATAATGGCTGGAAAGATGGATGGGTGGATGGATGGATGGATGGATGGATGGATGAATGGATGAATAGATGCATGGATGGATGTAATCATGGATGGATGGATGGATGAGTAGATGGATGGATGAACAGATGGGTGCATGATGGATGGACCCATTGGATGGACAGATGGATGGATGGATGGGCAGATGGATGGATGGATGGGCAGATGGATGGATGGATGAATAGGTGCATGGATGCATGCATGCATAGATGGATGGATGAGTAGATGGATGGGTGCATGGATGGATAGATGCATGCATAGATGGATGGATGGATGGATGGATGGATGGGTGGGTGGGTGGATGGATGAATGGATGGATGGGTGGGTGGATAATGGGTAGTTGGAGGGATGAATGGATGGATGGATGGATGGATGGATGGATGGGTAGATGGTGATGCATACATGAATGAATGGATGGATGAATGGATGAATAGGTGCATGGATGGATGCATGCATAGATGGATGGATGGATAGGTGGGTGGGTGGGTGGATGGATGGATGGATGGATGGATGGGTGGATAGATGGGTGGATGCATGCAAGGATGGATGGGTGCATGTATAGCTGGATGGATGGATGGATGGATGGGTAGATGATGGATGGATGCATGGATGGATGCATGCAAGGATGGATGCGTGCATGGATAGCTGGATGGATGGATGGATGGGTAGATGATGGATGGATGCATGGGTGGATGCATGCATGGATGGATGGGTGCATGGATAGCTGGATGGATGGATGGATTGTTTGAGGATAAACGAGTGCAGAGTTAGTAAAGCAGCGTGAAAGATTGTAACAGACAGAAACAGCTCAAACCAACGGAGACTTCTAGAAGATGAATAAAAAAGTTGGATCTGAACCCGGAGCTGCAGGACGTGTCAAAACTGTCCTGAATAATTCAAACCGTCCACGTCTACACGACAGTGTGACCCGTCTGGATGAATGCTCGAGTCCAATTAATATTTTAAACTCTGAGCAGCTTTGTTGGATGAATGTGGTACATTCTGCTCGTTCTTTAGATTTTTAGAGTTTTTTTCTGCAACAGTCTGCTGTTTGTCAAAAAAACAAAAAAACAAAAAAAAGCCAAGAGTCCGAGTAGAAAAACTAAACATTTCCACAAAATGCCTAAAAAAAATGTTGCTAATGAGTTCAGATGAACCAAAGGTGATGAAGAGATGTTTGTCAAACCAAGACTCAGGTTCTGTTACGATAAACGGAGTCAGTTAAACCAGTTATCACAGTAACGTGTAAACATCATGCTGGTTTCTGACAGCCGGGTGTAAAAGTGTTTCTTAGTTCGTCACAGCTCCGATGATCGGACCGAGCTGCTCAGAGCCGAGACTCAAAGACCTGCTGACCCCGGGTTCAGACTGGTTCTTACCCTCATGGCCTCCTGGATGTGGTCCTGTCTGACCACCTCAGCCGAGCGGTCCATGTACCACTTCAGACAACGGATCAGCTCCCTGAAACACGTTTTACACCGATTTTACACGTCAGGATCAAATCTGCACGTTTATTCTGCAACTGCCATAAACCCTTTAGATTAATTTAAAGTTATGAAAACAAGTTGTGAAGACAACATGTTGGGAGAGGTTAAAAACAACAAAATGTGAGTTTATTGGGTGGAGAAACAATAATAAAATGTTTCTTCTTATATTTAGCTAAATTAAGATTTTTATTTTTTTCAGTAAACTGGATTAAATCTTTTAGACGTCACCTGTGCGGCAGAAAGCACTGAAAGAAAATGTATTATTTTTATGCTAATTATGAAAACATATTAGTGAAGAGTTGATAATTTCCATGTCAGTGTCATGTGATTGTTTTAGTTTTAAACAAATTAATTTTAAATCTGGCCTTTTGCTTGAAGGTTAAGCTGGGTTTTCATTAATTTCTAAGGGAAACATTAAAATTATTGGTTTCACAGCAACTCTTCCTGAACGTGTCTCAGTCAGAAGCGGCAAATAAAAATGTAAATATTTAATACAAGTTTTTGTTTTTCCTCTGAAGTTTCTGCGACATGAAAGCACCTAGAAGAAACCAGGAGAGTAAAGCTGTGGATTAAGAAGATAAATAATAATCCGAGACTCTCTAAGCTCTCTGATTTGAGTTGTTTCTGTAAATTCATCAGTTTATGAGTCTTATTATTTAGAATTTCATTTATTTTGTTCTTTATCGTTTGTATTTTATCTCTGTGCTCTGTTGGCTAACAGGAAGCAGCACTTTTATTATACACGTAAAACAGAATTACGTGATTATTTTCTTATCTCTAAATTCACTCGGAGTATTTCTGTGCAGCTTAACTCTGCGACGATGGAAACAGCAAATTAAATAAAACATTAAGCACTATTTTAAGAAGAACCATGCACATTTAACATAGTTTAAAAACAGAAGCAAACACTCAGTCTACGTGCAGTTTAATGAGAAGAGTTTAAATCACAGTTTGTGTTTTTAGGTAAACGAGGTGCAGCTGTTTGGAGTGAAACACTCACTTATAGGCCAGAGCTCCGGCGAAGTGTTTCTGGATGTACATGTCCATCACCGGCCTGAAGTGGTAATATTTACTGTCCCTGAGCAGGTTGATGATGAAAACCTGAAAGAAGAAAGAAAGAACGAGTGAAGGAATAAACATTAAATAAAAGCTGCATTAACATGTTGGACAGGTGAGGCATTAAAGTGGGGGCTCACCCCCTACAGCAGGAGTTCTCAGTCTTTTTGGGTTCAGGGACCCCCTCGTCTTCATGTTTATGAAATAGTTTTCTTCAATTTGTCTCTTTAATGAAATGGAAATATTTGTGTAACATAAATACTTAAGATCTGTTCTTTAATAGAGTTAATACAATTTTTAATGCTTTTAAACATGAGCTATTTTTCATTCGAGACACGTAATTAACAACTTTTTTTTATTTCAACTTCCGAAAATTACGGTTTCGAGAAAATTAAAAGCATCAAAAACCACTTTAAAACTTTATCTATTCACATAATGAACATAATAAATGTATCGCCACTTCTTCAAATTATTACAGAAAACTCTTTAAATAAAACTGAACAGAATCAGAACAGCAGTAGTCGTACCAAGTAACAGGACTTCATCTGTAAACTGATCCATGCTGTAATGCGGGGGGGGGGGGGGGGGGGGGGTCCTCCCCTAGAAAATTTTGAATAAAGTAGATGTGATTTTGTGCATTTTGGTAAATTTTAATGGTTTGTTAAACATTTATGTGCCTGTAAACAATAAAATTAAAAAAAACTGCAGACCCCCAAGCACCGACTCATGGACCTCCAGCTTGAGGACCACTGTCCTAGAGGGGGCACGGAGCCATTGTGTGTGTGTGTGGGGGGGGGGGGGGGTATGATGAGAATGAAAAAAAAGAATGTTTGAACACTGTTAGCATAATGGACACGTTTTTGACGAGGCTCTCACATAAACACGAAGCAGAAGATGAATCATCACCAAATGTGCTTCCAGACCAACCTCCCTCCAAACCGAGGAGTAGAAAATATGACGGATCATTTCTTAGTTTTGTCTTCACCTGCACATCGGTGAATAACCAGGAAAGACCACGGCGTTGTCTGTCGTGTAGCGCTAGCTTGTGACAGTTTGAAGCCTAACAAGCTAAGACGCCTCTAGGAGACGAAACATCTGGAGCACAAAAACAAGTCACTGATGTTTTCAGACAGAAACTCAAACGGCCGTGTTCAACAGGGTAAAGCTGCATCCGTGCTGGCAGATGCTCAACTAAGCTCATATAAAGTTGTTGACCAAGTGGCACAGTGTGAAGAGGAGTTAAAACTTCCCTGTGAGATCTGCAGCAACAAGCAGACTCACACTAAAAGGCGAGTCGTTAAAGGTGTCATTTTAGCTCAACAAAAACTGAGCAAAGTTGTGGTTTGGGGTGAATTTTCTTATAAACCAAAGGGGGGCCCAGTAGAAAAAGTTTGGGAACAACTGCATTAAAGAAAAAAACTGAAAATTGGATGGAAGAATCTGAATTCATGCTTTGAAAACGTGTTTATTTGTAAAATATTCAACAAATGAATGAATCAAAAATTATTAGCATTGATGTCTTTTTTAACAAACTGTCCAATCACAGGTGTAGTCTCAGTATTTATTTTTTATTTTTTGACAGAATCCCATCTATGGCAGACGCCGTCTTTCACAGAACAATCAGTTTTAAATCTGATTGGGTTTATAAATGAGTTTGTGTTGCAATATTTTGACACCTGACAACACACGACTAACTCAAAGTGACAGCGTGTCATTTCTGTTCTTAATGTCTTTATATGATCAGAATCAAAGTATTGAGTCTTTATTTATTTATTATTTTTATTGATTTATTTTTGTTTGTGTTCACTTACCAAAGACTGGAACACCAGGGCTCCGTATTTGTCCGTGTTGTCATCCAAGATGGAAAATAAAGTGTCCAGAATGTCTTGGAGAAACTGCAAAATATACAACTAGTTACACTGAGACCAGTTTAATTTCTGTAAACAGGAAGTTGATCAGCCAGGTGACGTTCTTCACCTGGATGATCAGCCCATTTGAAGCTATCTGAATAACCTCAGCCGACTTAAATAAAAATAAAAATGCTGCTGGCTGTCAGTGATGGAGGTTAAATTAAACATGCAGTTTGTCTTCAGTGATCATCAGGGAGGGCTCTGCCAGCCCCGACTGAACAGCCTGACGCTCCTCGTCAAGACATTCAGCCACTCAGCTTTAAAACATTTACTTCAATCTTCAGAGAAATGTAAGAAAAATCATTAACCATGGACAAATTAAATTATTCTGAAATGTGCTGCCAGTAGCTTCACACCTCGAGCTGCCAGACGACACTGAAAACCTTTAAATATCACGACTGGGACATGAAAAATGATCGCCTGCAGACATCACGCTACGACACGACAATCCTCTGAGCAGAAATAAAAAACTAAAGAACGAAAATCTGTAAAGATAAATATAAAAAAAAACTGGTGGGTGAAGTAATTCAAATTCTGTTTTTCATACAAGTCATGTTTAGTCATATAGATGAATATTTTAATGAAAAAATAATATATATATATATATATATATATATATATATATAACCCTATGTCCTCGTTTTGTTGTCAGACTGAGCGTCACCTTGACTATTTCCTCCCCGCTGACGTGTCGAAGACGCCCGAGGATGTCCATGACCCGGTCAGGATGAGCCTTCCACTTGAGCAGAGCCAACAGGTCCACTGCAACAATTTATAAATCAAAATATGGCATAAATATAAAATAACGCATGGAGGATTTGAGAAATATCATAGTAATAAATAAATGAAAATAGAGGTGATAATAAAAATCTGACAAAGTTTAAAGGTTTCAAATCTTCTGTGTAGTTGAGATTATTGTTCTCTGTTCTGAGGCAGCAGGAATTAAAATTAATCTTCTGCTTATTATCATCAGTAACGAGACCTCAGTGAATCATAGTGTTGTTTATTTTCAGAAAAAACCATTTGTTTTAATCTTAATTGTTCTTTTCATAGACCAGTTTTCAAAAATTGTTACGGACCTGAATTAAGCTGGATTTGTAAATTGTTTGTGTGAAGTTTGGTGAAAATACCTTCTATTTTCCTTTAAAACTAAATACATATTTTATCCCATGCACTGAAACCATCCCTGAGTCTTCTGATCGCAGCCTAAAGCCTAAAGCAGGGGTGTCCAAACATTTTCACAGGTGGGCCAGAACTGTCTGAAAAGACTCGTGGGTCAGAAAATATGAATTTAAGAAAAGTATTGTTTTTAAAGTGTGATTTTTTTCCCCTCATTTTTAACAGCTTCTTGTGCTTTGAAAGTTAATTCTAGTTATTTTTCATAGGCAAAAAAAGCTCCACCCACTTTAAAAAAGGAGGTGGAGCTTCAAGCACCCATTTGGACCACGGAAAGCCCAAATGGGTCATCGAAGTTCTGAAAAACCATCCAGCTGACAGTCGCTAAAACAGATTCATGGAAGGTTTGAAGGGACACTGATTTGTCGATGATAACACTTTATATTCTTTTAAAAATGTCCAATTTCTATCAATTATTAACTCAACTGAAATTATTTTCTTTGAAAACACATTAGCAAAGTTTTATGAATTATTATCCAAAATTCTACAGTTTGTTGTAGAATAAAGGGATTAATTATGGATAAATATTTGTATTGCACTTAATTTAGCTCATTTTGAAAAGATTATTTGCATCTTTTTTGCTGTTAAACCTAAAAATTATATTTAATAAATATCACAATTAAATCTAAAGGTCTCCATCTACAAAAACCTCTTACGCCTGTGGGTCAAAATGATACGTTCTTTAATTGTAGTCGAGGGCCGCAAAAAATCACTCCAAGGGCCGCGAATGGCCCTCGGACCACACTTTGGACGCGCCTGGCCTAAAGGAAAACCTTCTTCCCTTCAAACAGTTGAAATGAACATTATGACGAATACTGCATCAGACGAGTACCGTTCTGCGTGAGCTTGGTGGAGGAGAGCTGCGTGGAGATCCAGAACGTCTCCTTGACGCTTCGCTGGAAGATGAGGCTGGAGGGGATGTTGGGACAGCTGTTGAAGTCGTCCTTGCAGCAGGGCAGGCCCAGGTAGAGAGCGTGGTTACTGAACGTGGTGTTCTCATCACACTGAGGCCCAGATGAACCACGGCGAGAGACAAGGAAACAAAAGGTAAATGGTACTGCTGGTTTCTAAATGGGTTTTCAAGGTTTACAATTTAGCTCTATAAATCTTAAAGAAAACCGATCAAATTGTGTTTTGTGAAACAGTTTACAAGGTGAAAACAAAGCTCTTAAGAGCTACTGTGCACCAAATGGGAAGCACCGATTATTTGTATATATTTCTCAGATGAAGCAGGAAGCAAAGCAGCGGATGTTTAAGTGAAGACGGCTGTAATTTATCGTTTCTGTCTGACCTTGTAGACGTAGAGCTCATGACTTTCATCAGATAAAGTTGTTCCATCTTCCCTCATCAGAGGAGTAAAGGCGAAACCAAACAGCTTCTTCTCTCCTTTGTCTTTAGCTGCAGAGAGGAAATGAGACAGAATGGCAAGTTTGAAAGCGGAGACATTAAAGAACACATGACAACATATCCATCAGCTGAGGATGAAAAACAATAAAACACATTTATCAAAGTGAACTGTTCACGTTGTCATTTCAGCTTTTAAATCTTTCTATTCCAGGACAGATTATTTTATTTTTTCACAACAAACAGCAGTCATTTTGTTTCAACTTTAAATTGCAGCCAGCTAAATGACTTTGACATGTGCTGAAAAAGTAAAGGACCCACTGGAACAGTGTCTGAACTCGAAGCGCAGGTGGGATCCTCTGAAACGATCGATGGGAATCGGTAGTTTGATCACTTCGCTCCAGCGAGGGCTGTTGTTGTGATAGAGCACGAAGGAGCGATACTCAGGGATGTTGGGCTCACCAGAACCCAGACTGATGCAGTCCTGCAGAGGCAGAGTGTGTGAAAAAAAAAGTTACTTTGCTTTTATTACAAACTATGGTAACTGATGTGGAAATACATAGGATTTAGTATTCTATTATACTCCTTTATGAAATTATTTAACGTATTTTAAAGAAAACAATAAAACAGTCACATGAAACCTGTGTCACTGTATTCACATTTTATTTCTCTTCTTGTGATTCAGGGCTGCAGAGGTAAATTTATTTTTTATTTTTGTAGAAAACGAAATCAAATGAGCAACAGTCTGAAAAGTTTGCTTTTGGAAAAAAAACATTATTATAATATTTTTTTATAAAATATGGACTAGATATGATAGCTTTATAAATTAGGTAGAAATTATGTAAAATATTGATGGCAATACATAATACAGCCCAGCACTCACAGAGTACATGCCTGGTAAGTACCTAGTTTGTACCAGGTGAGTAACCAGTTCACAGCAGGTTCCCAGCAAGTACAATCAGCACACTGTTGACTGGTTCTCAAACTATCTCACAAGTTGGAGACAATGTGTTCGACAAACCAGTACTTCATCTAGCTACCAGTCACTATTGGTGTGCCACAAGGCTCAATTTTAGGTCCCACTCTTTTTACAATTTATATAAATAATTTAGGTCAAAACATTTCTGATGTATTGTTGCATCTCTTTGCTGATGACACTGTTGTTTATTGCCAAGCTAACACAGTTGCCAAGGTTCTCCAGCTTCTATAGTCTGCATTTGACATCATTCAGTCAGACCTATTCCATCTCAAACTGGTGCTAAATGCTGATAAAACCAAAGGGATGTTGTTTTCCAATAGAAGGTGGGTGCCAGCAACTCTTCCTCCTATCTCATCCATGCATGGGTTCTTACAAATACTTGTAATACTTGGGAATTTTTGTTGATGCACATCTCTCTTTTAAACCACATGTCAAAAACTTGATAAAGAAACTGGAATTAAAACTGGGTTTCTTTTTCAGAAATAGATCTTGCTTAACTCTGAATGCCAGAAAACACCTTATAACCACTACCTTCCTACTGGCCATTGACTATGGTGACATTATTTACATGAATGCTCCTGCCAGCTCCAGGTACTCATCTGGTGTTCATTGGGTACACACTGGATTCTTAGCTGGTACTTACCTGGTACCCAAGGGAACCAGGCTATACTATGAAGTGACTTATTACCTGTAATGTACTTACTAGGTACATACCAGGTATTCACCTTGTGCTTACCTGGTACATACTTTGTATTTACAGGATGTACCTGGTCTTGCAGTTACCAGCTATTAAATGCCTTGTTACTCTGCACTTACTTGGTAAATATCAGTTACACACCTGGTACCTACTGTGTATATACAGGGTATGTACCTGGTACTTACAGGGACTGGGCTGTATTTGAAGTGACATGTTTCCCTGTATTCACCCAGTACACAGCAGGCAGTTTATCTGTGTAACCAGGTACGTACAAAATACATTCCCAATAAGCACCAGGCTTTATTATGTATTCCTGCCCAAGTTTTAAAGCTTAAGGAAAGTAGCGTATACTCTTGAGTCTGTTAATGGTTTCTGTCTGTATGGAGAAGAGTGCAGGGTTCCAACCGTATGGTAAAAAAAAAGGTTGAAATGACAGATAGTAGGCTTTAATGGGAAGACTTTGGAGTGATGTGCAAAGATGTGGGGGCTGTTATTACTTTTATCTTTTTTATTATGTGGTATTAAAATAGGAGAAAAGAACACATTTTATGACATTAAACATAATGATGCAACATCTTTATTCAAGTGAGAGAAAAATGAAGCTCTGGTATCGTTACAGATGGAACCCGGTCAGCTAGAAACATTTTAAATACAGAATTTTACATTACTTTAACGTTCTTTTGCCATAAAATGATTGTGTTGGGATTTTGTCATTCTGAGTTATTTCAGTGTAGACATCATATAATTGTTAAAATGAGCATCAGACGCGTTAAAGTAAAAACATCAACTGTTCCTTTTTCCCTGTTTGTAGGCCCTTACATTATTCATGTGGAGCAGCATCTATATTGCAGGACCACTTCCCTACCTTCAGGATTTCTCCGTCGGCGTAGAGGACGTACATGGTCACCTCGATGTTTTTCTGAACGCTCTTCCCGCCTCGCTCAAAATCCCCTCGCTCCAGTGTCAGGTACAGGTCGTTACGGATGTCACCTGGTTCCACCAAACGACACACACAAAGAAAACTAAACAAAAGCTTTCAGGTAAATTTGAAAAGATTATCTTGTTCACACATAACATCAGTAATAACTGTCAGAATAAATATCTTTTTATTACTTGTGAATGTGTTCAAAAGGAGAAAATTAAGGGTTATCCAGGTTTTTATGTCTTTAAGACATGCTTGTAGTCTAAGTAGCTGATTGGATTCATTGGGTTTTATGGACAAATATAATTGTGTGTCATCAGCATAAAAATGAAAATGCATCTCATGCTGTTTAATAACTGTACCTAATGGAAGCATATATAAAGTAAAGAGTATTGGTCCAAGCACTGAGCCCTGAGGAACACCATGACTAACTTTGGTGTATGAAGAAGACTTGTTATTTATATTTACAAACTGGAATCTATCAGATAGATATGATTTAAACCATTTTAGAGCTGTTTTCCTTAGATAGAAAATTTTACAAATTGGCTTTTCTATGTATGTGAATGCTCCTGTAAAGTACCCTGAGACAACGTTGTTGTGATTTGGCGCTATATAAATAATCTGAATTGAATAGAATTGAATGTTGTAACAAAGGCTACAGAATATGTAAAGGACACACGTGTCCTTAGGCACAGAGACACATTAAAAGTTGAATATCTAACACAGAAGACAAATGACCAGTGTTAACATGTGTGTGGATTCATTTGTCTTTCCCAGTTTGACCGTATGGAGGTGTCACCCTTCGTACATCAGGATGGGCGTAAAGACTCACTCCATCACTGCCGTGAGGCGAGGGGGGCTTGGTGTGTGAATGAGGTGTGAAAACCCTTGAGTATGTTTTACAGCACAACACTGAGCCTTGTTTGCTTCAGAGGACACTTTCAGGGTTAATGTTAAACTCTGTGCAACTTTACAAATAATCAAAGCTATAGAGATGCAATCAGAAGCTAAATGTTGGATGTGAATTATTAACTTGTGACAAAGAGTGATAAAGATGTGTTGTCACAGAGCAGTCTGTGGTTGTGTATGTGAAACAGGAGCCACCCGCTAGGCTAACACTGTTCGCACGTGTTAGTGGCAGAATTCAACATCAGACGATATTTTTAACAGAAATGGTGGAAAACAGACGGCAGCACTACAGAAACTCACATTTATTTCTCACATCTTGTGTGTTCAAAACAATAAATACATTTTTTATTTATTCTCCTCTGAAAACTGCTCAGTAATAAACCAAATACATTTCAGTCAACTTCTTCTTTCTGCTTTTCTCTCTTCAGGGGTCTCCACAGTGAGTCATCCTCCTCCATCTCTGTCCTCTGCATCCTCCGTCCTCACAAAAACTACCTCCATGTCCTCTCTAACTGTATCCATATGTCTCCTGAATGGCCTTCCTCTTTGTTTTTTTCTTGGCAGCTGCATTTCTAACATCCTTCTACCAATATACCCACTGACCGTCCTCTGGACATGTCCAAACCTTCTCAGTCTGGCCCCTATAACTTTATCTCCCTGCTGTTCAACCTGTGCTGTACCTCTGATGATCTCATTCCTAATCTTGTCCATCCTTTTCACTCCTAAGGAGAACCTCAACATCTTAATTTCTGCCACTTCCAGTTCTTTCTCTTGTCTTTTTGCCCATGTCTCAGTCTCCAGACCATCCAACATAGCTGGTCTCACCACTGTCGTAAACTTTTCCTTCTACCTTTTCTGACACCTTTTTATTGCAAATCACTCCTGAAACTTTTCTCCATCTACTCCATCCTGCCTGGACTCTCTTCTTCACCTCCTTACCACACTCCCCATTTTCCTGGACAGTGGACCCCAAGTACTTGAGGTCCTGCACCTTTGTGACCTCTGCTCCTTGTAGCCTCACTGTTCCACCAGCTTCCCTCTCATTCACACACATGCACGCTGTCTTACTATGGTTGACTTCCATTCCTCGTCTTTCAAGTGCATACCTCCACCACTAAGTTCTCTTCCACCTGTTCCCTGTTCTCACCACAGGTCACAATGTTATCTGCAAACATCATAGTCCATGGTGACACCTGCCTGACTTCATCTGTTAGTCGGTCCATCACCAGAGCAAACAAGAAGGGGCTCAGAGCTGATCTTTGATGCACTCCCACCTCCACCTTGAAGCTATCTGTCACTCCTACAACACATCTCACCACTGGCCTGCTGTCCTCATAGATGTCCTGTACCAGTCTAACATGCTTCTCTGCAACTCCAGATTTCCTCACGCAATACCACACCTGCCTCCACCCCCATTTTTTGTCTGACTCTGGGCATTGAGCAAAGCCCTTAACAACCCCCCCCCCCCATTTGCTCCCAAACAGGTCTCTCTTGACAATGAGTTCTTGTGACTCAATGAGAATACCTGTATAAATAAAGGTTAAATAAAATAAATAAATAAATAAATACTGTCTTCCCCTTCTTCATTCTTTTCAGAGTTTTCCTGACTTCACCCTCACAATCTTTCCCACTTCCTGGTCCATAGTTTCTATGACCTCTACTCTTCTTTCTCTTTCATTCTTGTCATTCATTAGCTCCTCAAATTACTCCTTCCATCTTCCCGTCACACTCTCCTCACTTGTTAGAACATTAACATTGCTACCTTTAACTAGCCTGCTGCATATCCTTTCCAGCCTGATCCCTCTGTCTCGCCAATCGGTGCAAGTCCTTCTCACCTTCTTTAGTGTCCAGCCTCCCAAATAACTCATCATACACCTTCTGCTTTGCCTTTACCACCTCTCTCTTTGTTCTATGTTGCATCTTCTTAAATTCCTGTCAAATTTAAGGAGTTTTGAAATACATAAAATAATAATGAAATAATGTCCTGAAATAAATTTTAGTTAATAACTAGGTTATTATTACACATTAATATGTAAATATGCATTCCTTTAATGAATGCCAGGCTTTCAGTTGACTATTAAGCGTTAATAAAGTGCTTTCTCTGGTGGTGAATCTCTGACGTGTGATGGGACCCCACTGTGCGTTAGTCTAAAGCTTCTTTTGCAGAAAAACAGACATGAGTGCAGGGTGATTTAAAACACTGCAGTTTGGCTGAAGAGCATTTATAAATTTGTCAGCAGCAGCAGAAAGTGAAGTGATGCATCTTAAAGAAACCCGCTGATGTCGAACACATTTACATGGCCTGTCATACTTGTGCTGCCGCCTCATATTTCTTTCATGCTGAATGGGCAAACATGCACTTCATCATGTTTTGTGTCACTGCGGGGAAGCTGTGGCTGCAGAGAGTCATGATAGAAGAAATCAGAAGGAGTGAGAGCTTCTTAAAGATTGTAACATGAACAGCAACAGTAAAGATGATCTCAAAAGAGAAGAAACAAAACTGGAAACAGTTCATCAGTCAATGGTTTTATGATCATCCTGTTCTCAGAAAACTAAAAATAAACCCTTCAGCTGAGGTGGACTTGTCTTGCTCCTGTGATGGGGCACATTTCGCAGGATATCTGACTCACCTGGCATGATGACGTCTGGGAATCCCAGTTTGCGCGTGAATGCCACCCCCCTGCTGAAAATGAGTGGGTTTTCTCTGCGGACCTGGTCCATGTCGCCTCTGAGCAGCTGCAGGGAGATGATCAGGCCTGCAGGGTTTCATGAGGAGGAGAGGAAGGACGGCAGGATGACAGGTTGACAGGAACGAGAAGAGAGATAAAAGGTTGAAGGAAAAATGACAGAGAGATGGAAAACGAGGCAAAATAAAACATGCTTCAAAAATAACTATTGACCTTCAGTTTACATTTTAACCGCACAATGCGACTGAAAATCAAACACAGCTTAAAGTTTTCAGTCTACTTGTATTTTAGCTTTGAACAACAACAAATGAAGAATGAATTAAACCAACACAATTATCTTTAACAAGGATTATAGCCCAGTATTTATTATCCCACCTCTAATTAAACTGTAAATTTTACTTTGACTCTTTGAAAATAACAAGAAAAAATAGAAATAAAAGGTCAAAACTTCCTCTAAAAGCCAATGTTTAGTTGAATTTATATTTGTTTCGGGGTCAAAGTGGTTGTAGTCGACAGCGAAACCAGTTAAAATGATTTTCCAGCTGATGTCAGTGAAGCTTCAGTCCGATGATGAAATGAGTTTTTGTTATAAACTCTCTGCCATCTTTGTGCATAAATATAACTTTAACAAATGCTATTTATTAATCATTATCACAGTGAGTTATTCACATCGAGAATATATTTTTACAGAATAAAGCTATTTTTATGTAAGCTAACAGAAAGAATAAGGAGCCAGAAACTTCTCTTCACAAGTGAGAAGGTCAACTTTGATGGGATATGAATGAATTATTTAAAGCTTGAATGTATGAATAAACCAAAGTGACAAAATTACGAGATTATTAAATTCTGTAACATTTAAGTGGTTGTATAGTTTTGATTTGAACACAACAGGAATAAATAAATGTGAGTGCAAACCATCAAACATAAAAACAAAAAATGAAAACAAGAAAAGAAGATAAATACAATAATTTAAGAAAATAAATAAAATACGTCACGACAACTCATTTGGGGTTTTGAAAAGGTCATAAAAAATATTTAGATGTTTTCTAATGACAGAGAACTTGACACTGAAATAAATCAAATTATATTAGGCTGGAATATATATAATAATAATAGAAATAATAATAATAATAAACAATAATCAGTAGAAATAATATAAATATAATATGTGTGTTGAAATGAAAACTTGAGTCAGATAAATTTATCTCTGACCTCACTAGAATTTCTCTACATCATTGGTGTCGAACCCAATTACAAAACGGGGCCAAAATTAAAACCGTTTTCAGAATCTACAGTAACTCAAGTTCAATACTCGACATCTTTTCTTGGTTGCACGTTCCTCAACAAGAGTTTGGTCTCGTTTGACGTTCTCTGTGGCACTTTTGACATCATAATCAAAGATTACTGAAAAAATTAAAGTGATAAAAGTATTTTACATTTAAAATAACGTCAAGGGGGCCAGATAAGATGTCAGCGAGGGCCACATTTGGCCGCTGGGTCTTGAGTTTGACACATACAGTATGCTCTATAGCCTTAAACTGAATAAGAGAGAAAGGTTCAAACAAAGTTTTAGTTTGATTAATTCATTAATTTACCTATAAAACGATAAATTAATACACCATGCAACCAAACAAATGTACTCCTCTTACCGTAGTTGTTGCTTGGAGCTGTATACTTGTTGCTCGACTTGCGGATGATGTTCTCATGGATCTGGTACCATTCGTTCTCATTGTTACACCTGCAGAAAATAAAACATGCATTGTCATTTTACAGAGATTAAACAGGTTAACAAAAGATTTTCAGGACTTTTCGTCACATTTTCTTTCCCTTTGGTGAATTTGAAGTTAGTTTTCTACAGTTTCAGTAACATGTTCATAACTTGATTAAGTTTTCTTAAAATCAAAATTAATCTGCAAAACAAGATTTAAAGTACACAGATGATGTTTTACTAATCACCAAAAACAACTAAAGTTGATGTAAAGAGACAAACTTCAGACACACACTTAAATAATAAAGTGCAAAATAAAACGTTACGTCAGATAAGAATTAAAGACAAAAGAGGAGGAGAGAAAATAAAATGTTTTTAGGGAAGTGAACCTCTGAAAAAAAGATGATAATTCTCTTTTTATATGATTTCTCTTTAATCTGAAAATGTCAGAAAATATTCAGTATGACTCAGTTTGTGACAAACGTATAAATAAGCACACATAATAAAGATAAAGACAAAATGAAAACACGGTATTTGTCGTGTGTAGCGGAGCTGCCACCTACGTGTAAACTTTAAGAACAAAATCTTTCTCCTCCTTGAGCTCGGAGATGATCTGCAGGACGTCGCTCATGGCCAGTACCGCGCAGCCGTACGGTCGGCGGTACTGAACGTGCGGGGGGCCTTTTTTACTGTCGTTTAACAGCATCCGACCTGCAGCAGAAGGCACGATCGTAAGAAACGTTGGACATTTTTATACTTGTATTCGACAGGACCGTAAAGTAACACTGTGACTCAGCTAGCTGCATCAAAATGACAAATTACAGACGCAGCTATAAAAATGTAGTAAATTATTCACACATTTTACCATAAAGTAAAGCTGAGAGTGATGGTTAACGATAAAAAATATTCAGCAAACACACACCAGATTCTCAGCGCTACGGGTCCTTAGAACTATTTTTATTTTGTCAGAAACTTTTCAGGTGTTTTATCGGAGTCTTCAGTCTGACCTGTTCGAACAACCTGTGAGACGATGTAGAGGTCCCTCTTCATGTCTTTGTTGCTCAGGTCCTGCAGAGACAGATACATTGTTGCTGTTGTTACAAGCTTTTTATTATTATTATTATTTTATTATTAGTTAGCAGGCTGGTTACAAAAAGGTATGAGCAAGACTATTTTAGAAAAGGTGGATTGTAGCATCACTTAGGTGGATTTGAGTGTCTAGGAAGACACATTTTGAATTTATGCACATTTCAAGCTTCACAGTCTCAGTTCAATTACCCAAATGGCCAAAACAACAGAGCGGGAATAAATGGAATAAACTGAGATAAAAATATCCTGGTGCATGCTCAATTATCCAGGTAGAAAAATCTAAAAAAGTTAAGTCAGGTCCTCTGGATGGATTCTTCTTGTTGAAACGTTCCATCTTTTATCCAAAGGACTTCTTCAGTCTGAGGAGCCGCAACAAACTCAGTCTTATAACTAGCACCTTCTCATGATGGATCAACCAGTTTGCTGCTGACATCCAGAACTCGCTGTTCACATGTAAAAGGAGAACCATCAGCCTAACAATTGGTCACACATTTAAACGTATTTCTTTCTTTAAGTAAAACTTTCTGACTCATGTTTTGTGTTTAATAGACTAAAGTGAGCAGCAGCAGAGGTACATGTCTACAAACGTTACGTTGTTATGGAATAACTGGACATGAGCACCATATGTTCTTGTTTTAATCTTTTTGCCTAAACCTTGTAGGAAGCTTTATTTATGTTCACCGTGTATCTGACATTTGGGATGCTGCAGAAGTTTAATACTTTAGAGCAGAGCCGGATCCTGCCGGAACAAGATCCGGGAACTCTCTCATTTTGACCACTCGGACCCGGCAATAAATCTCCGCCCATAAAAGTCCAACGCCATCGCACATTTTTATTTTGATTATTTATTAAAAATACAACGAGAAGAGACGTTCTGTGGAGCGGATGTTCCAGCCGCACTATGCGCACCAGCTCGCGCACACGCTCCTGCCCAGCAGAGTCCACATGTCCCGCGGGGATGAGCGTCCTCATCCACGTTCAGCTGTGCGCCCTGAGACAGTGCATGTTTTACACACAGGCGCGTCCACAGACAGCTCTACAGGACGCATGCACAACTGATGATGTTCATCCTACATATATTAACGCAGTGCATAACATTTCAAAGATAATAAAAAAAAAAAACTTACATTAAAAAAGTATGAGTGAAATGTTTGATGTGCATTATTCACATTACGTTACGTTTCAAAACAACAGCAATAATTTGTCAAAATAACAGCGATCAAAATATCAAAAAGACAATTTAATTTCCTAAAATAAATGGATGGATTGTCCTTAGCTGGACAACAGAGAATTGAAGCACCTGAAGGCAAGGCAGTGGTGATCGAGATTGGATCAGAACAACGTGCAGGACTGAATTCAGCTGAGAAGCGTTTGGGTCGGACAGTGTGTATGGGGGGGGGGGGGGGGGGGGACGCTTGACAGAATCTGAGCTGCTCTATTCACTGCTCTCTAAAATAGTAATTTCAATTCAACCTTTATTTATACAGGTTGTTAGTCTCATTGAGCCTTGTCATTTACAAGAGAGACCTGTTTTAATCAGTTTAATCAAATGTTTACAGACGTTTAACAACCGCTTAAAATACACCAAAATGCTGGAAACGACATCTCTTTTATCTCCCCCGCGCAGGTCCGCCTGCTATTTGTGTTCCGGCATCAGTTGGTTTACAAATTAAGCCGTGCTTCAGAGTAAGAAGGAAGTTCAATAATTAGCCAAACTGTGAGCAAATCCTTCATCAAAACAACAAATCACTTCCTTTTATCAGACTGGATGTTTCCCATTTTGTCTCTGGGCTGATCTGATTACAAACGACAGGGGGCGATGCAGCCTTGCTTTAATCGTTTGCTTTCTATTTTATATATTTGCTTGTAAACTTCACCAAAATGAATCGTGAGCATGTGGTTTACATTGTATACGTGTGTTTGTTACCGTGAAGAGTGCACACAGCCTGTCCACCTTCTCTGGATTCTTTGGTCCTCCGTTCTTGTTCAGTCTCACCATCAACTTCTCGCTGAAACACACAAAAAAAACCATCAAAGGTTTGAGCTCCGTCTGTCCCAGTCTGGATCCCAGTCTGGCTCCCAGTCAGGCTCTGGTTGTCTGTCGCCTGCAGGGACGCTGCAGCCGTTAGAGCGAGCGGAGAGTGTTTTATTTAAAACACACACGCCTGAAGGTCTGTGATATCCATACACCCTGAATAAACATCATGTCAGCTGCAGCTTTTCAAATCCTTAAACCAAACTCCAAGATGGTGAAACTCTATCCTCACTTCACCCTCATGCTCTCCTCGGGGGGTCTTTGAAAATGATGCTCATCTCTTCGCCCCCCGAAGCACAACAGGGAGGAAACTCTAGAAAAAAAGACATCTCAGACGTCTTTACTGCTGAGAGGAGAATCATAAAGAATTTTATTAACAGCAACTGCTCCTTTAATCTGTGAAAACAAGAGATGAGAGACGCTGACGTGCTTTCACTGACGGTATTCTTTTTACATATTGTACAGTAAACGTAATTAATAAAATATTAGTGTGACACAAACACTGATCCACTGACAATTTTGTTCACTTTCATGGCGTAACGATCACAGGAAGAGGCAAAACAGACATTTTCACATTATTTAGGCACAAAACTATAAAACGTACCCAGTTCTAATTACAGTTTCACATAATGTATTCCTCTCTGACACAGTCTGGTAAAACACACAGCCTGAGGGCCAAACAAGGCCCCGAACCATCTCCATCGAGCACTCGAGTTCTTAAACCAGAACAAAACAACTAAAAACAAATAAAAAAAAAACTAGCCTTTTCCTAATTAATCCCCAAGTGAGTGAAAACAAACTCCAAACTGAACATCTTTGAAGCCTAAATCTGGATCGTTTGGACTTAAATGAGGCTAAAATATGGACGGTTTGCAACAGTTAGTCGTTTGAGTATCACATTGTTCAATAAGTTTTATAAAAAGAGCTTTCAAGCAAGAAAAATAACTTTCACAAGCCGTAAAATGTTTGAAAAGAACCTAGAAGACTTAATAAAAAACCCCGAACCATCTTATCACCAAGTCAGTTTAGTGACTGCGTGAGCTTCTGAAGGCTGTTATGTTCTCTGACAGAGGTAGGCAGCTCACGGTGCCGCTGGTTTGATTCCCGTTTAGTACTTTTATTATTTTGGATTTCAGCCTTTAACGTTTGCTTCAGGTCTCGTGACACGAGGCAGCAGAGAACACATTGGAGCGTCAGGCTGGAGCAAACGGAGGTTTTAATGTAGCACCTTGATAACTAATACATGAAGACAAGAATACCTGAAGGATTCTTTTTTTAAAAAAGTATTTGTCCGTTTATTGTCCCAGAAAAACATGGAGGGACCACAAGGTCAAATGGACAACACAGCAGAGACATCATTTATCTGAGCTCAGCGGATGTTTCAGCTTAAAAATCTACCTGCATGCTTATATTTTTACAAAGAAAGGACAATAAAATGTTTTTTGTTGCTCTATTTTTCATTGTCTTTAATATTTATATATATATTACTCTGGCACCATGAACCTACAGCCTGCTGGTACTTCTAATATGGAGGATGGAGTGTTACCGAACCTCTTCCTTCTGTGCTCTTTAACTATTCTGGCTAAGAGAAGACCTCATTTGTACCTTAGATAAGAAGAGTTCATCTTAATGGTTTATAGAGTCCTTCAGGTCTGGGTCAGGTTCTGTGACTGCTGGACCTTGTGGACCTGTTTAACATCAGACCCTTTGTAAAACCTGAATGAGAGAGACCTGATGTCTGCTGTTGTCACTTGGATCATGTCGTTCACCAGAGGTGTGCAGAGTGCACATGTTGGGCTGAGTGGATCTGCAGCTCTTTAGCTGGTACCAACGACCTGCGAGAGGAAGTGGTTCTGGTCAGGATGTTGGTCAGAGAGCAGAGGTCGGACTTGGATCTACAGCTGAGCTTCAACAACAACAACTGGTATTTTAACATGTTGCATTAAAACAGCTGACACTAAACGCGTAGCGGCTGTTTGTTGTTTTCCCAATCCTGTGAATTAGGCCCATACTCAGATTTTAGACATTTCCAACTGGTTCTGCAGCAGAATAAACAAGTATAGATCAAAGTTTTGGTGCTCAAGAAGATCACATGGAATATCTCTGCACATCATATTTTATTTTAATCATTTTAACAGTTTGCTGTGTTTTCAAATACTTTTACACATTTATTTAGTTTGAATCTTAATGTTAAAATAAAAAAGCCCCGAGACGTTCTCTCTCCTGAAAACTGCATCTGTTCTAAGCCAAATAAACACATTTTCATGTTGTTTTTATTACTCCGCACACACATACGGTAGATGTAAAAGCCAACTCCCAGGTCACTGACAGTGTTTGAATGCAAACACAATCAACACTGAAGATCAACAAATCCCCACAACACGCACCCCGTAGGTCTTTGAATGCAACACTTTATCCTAATCCCCCAGAGGCAACGAAGCCCAAACAAATACAACAGGAGGAAATAAATATGTATCTGTCCCCAAACAATAGGACAGTGTGTCTGTGTGTGACTGTGTGTGTGTGTGTTGGAAACTGGTGGGCGATGAGGTGCAAAAGAAAACTGAGACAACCCTGGTTCCTGGTTTCTTATCGTTGGTGGATTTTTTTGGAGTCATGAATAAAGAAAATTTTAAAAAAGACCGAAGACATGATGTGTGGACAAAAAAAAAGTGTGTGTGTTTTGCAACAATTTGTTTGTGTTTGTTCGTATGCACCGCCTCGGGCTCAGGCTTGGACCTGTCATGGCGGGCATCTCCATGAACCTCCATCTGCCTGCACGGACCCAACTCTACAGAACAGTTCAGTTCCGTGGGAAACTTTGAACGTTCTGTGTCTCCCAGATCCGGTTCTGGAGGGCAGTCATCGTCCGTTGCCATAACTGTTATTATCATCATGCTGCTAACAGGACTACAGGCTACTGCTAACAGGATCATACTGCTAACAGTACCATGCTGCTAAAAGGACCATGCCGCTAAGAGAACCA